GCTGTGCTGATTATGTTTAGATAATCAGTTGGCTCATCGTCTTTTGGACCCTAGCCCCAGGTGGCAACGCTGGTGACTTAACAAGTTCGCTTGGCTCAGGCGCTCGCGACCGCATGTGTTGCAGCACCATGCGCTTGGCGTTGATTACGTAGACTCCATCGGCACCTGTCGTTTCCGTACCCGGTGTTTCCTTTCCGCATGCAGCGGTGGTTTCTTACGCAGCTAGTCAACCGCCCTCTTGATCAGCTCATGCCATTCTCGCCAATCAATTGCCTTTGATTCCCAACGCCTGAAATCAACATTAGTTCGTGATAAACTCACCTTCATCATGTTCTGGTAACGTAACTTCAATTTTCTCACGTGCCGCTTCCATGCACTGAGTTGCCGTGCAAGAATTGTTGGGGTATCCTCGTCGAATTCATGCAGCAGATATGCCTCAGCCACCTCAGGTGCCACAGCAGAAGTTTGTAATCCACTGCAAACATGCCACTGCGGCGCAGCACTTCTGGGTCTGAAACATTGTCGCACCAACCGATGCGCAGAATCCGTCGCAGACACTGTTGATGTAACCGTTTTAGATAGCTAACGGGATTCCGATACACCTTTCACGTTTCGCTGCGGTCACAACCACCGACTAGTATACCCTCAGCTGGGCTCCAACAGAAAGCTAGTGGTTGTTCCACACATGTTTCACCAGTTTACCAAAAGTAGCAGCCGCCTTAGATATGTGGATGCGCAGCTTACTCGTCATCTGCAGATCGGTTGATATTACGAGCCCAAGATAGCAGAATTTCGATGCTATCTCTAACATGTCATCGGAAATCTAGATTTGGGGTAGGCCCACGGACTCCATTCTGGGCGAAGGCTGGAAAAGATACAGTCTTGCTTGTGTTGATGGTGAGCCCGAATTTGGTCGCTGTCGAAGTGATATACCAAGTCATGCGCCGCAACTCATCCGCGCTGTGTGCAAACAATGCACATTTATCAGTAAACAGCAACATACGGATGGTTGTCTCACACAACATAGTTCTCACCTCGAAACGATGGATGTCCAGCAACCCACCACCGATGCGGTGCTGCACACGAGCGTCGTAATCACAAGCACCATGAAAAGAAGATCAGTGCATTTAGGTAAATATTAAACGGGGCAGGAGCTAAGACACAGCCTTGCTTTACACCAGTGACAACTGCAAAGTCACCCGAGGTCTCTCCACTCAGCTGCATCCTCGCCGGCATACCACTGTGCAGACATTCAATTAAACAAACTTACGCGGGCAACCAAACTTACTCAACACCAGCCATAATGCTTCTCGGTTCACTGTATCAAATGCCTTAGTGAAATCAACAAAAAGCGAGTACAAAGGCTGGTGTCGTTCTCTGCACTTCTTCTGCAACTGACGAGCCACAGACACCATATCTATAGTGCTGCAACCCGGACGGAATCCGCATTGCTCTTCCGTCACGTTAGGTTCCACAACCTGACTGACGAGGCGGTTGAGCAGGATTCGGGCGATCACTTTTCCCGCTCAACTCAGCAAATGAATGCCACAATAATTCGTGTAACATTGTGTGATCCCTTTGCCCTTATACAGTGGTAGCACAAGCGAATCCTTCAGCAAGGACAGCACTTCCTATCCAATCCATACGCGTTGCACCAAATGGCGCAGCGCATTTACCAACGCCGGGCCGCCGTGTTGCAATAACTCAAGCGGGATTCCGTCGGCGTCTGCACATTTGCCATTTTGTAGCCGAGTAAGTGCTCACTTTGTCTCATCCTGTCTATATGTCGGCAAGACACGTCTTCATCTCTTGCTGTTGTAGCCCATGCACTGTAGGCCAGTTAATCTCTGAAAGGTTGTTAGAGAGACAGTCGAAGTTTTTTCACCAGATCTGTATCATGCCTTCAGTCTCTGTGCAGGAAGCGCCTGAAGTAGCATCGAGCAGATTCCTCTGTGGCTGGAACGCGGGTCAATTCACCGTCTTCAAGGAATCAAAGAATTGCTTGCTGGCAACGTTCGGCGTAGCATTCCATCTGCTTCGCCTTCTCCGTCCGCCATGCATACTTGGTGCGACGGAGCTCTCGAGTCAGTCGCCGTCAAAGTTGGCGAAAAAGACTTTACTTCTCGCAGTTAGTAGGGTCCGCCATATGTGCAGCGAGCGATGTACTCTTCTCCGACACCAATGCGCCAATGGTCACATTGTTATCATCAAAGCAATCGGCCTGCTTACAGTGTGCGATGCCGATCGTTTCCTCGGCCGCAGCCGTCAACTGCTTGCGAACGTGGTGCTATAGGTCGCTCATTGCGGCTATGGGTTCGACATCGGCAAGGCGGGTAACCATTGCCTTCTCCAGCTCCTACTGCTTCTTAAGAGTACCCATGGAAAAAAACGTTAAGCTTGCACCGGTTCACGTCAGGTGAGAAATATAAAAGTTTTTTGGATATGGCAAACTGTGATGTAATGCAAATTCGCCTATCCCGTGCTGTTTGGACCTGACGGCAATGAAGCCTCAACAAATCAAAACAAGGCCTGCTTGCGGAACAGTATACAAGGTCGTTTGTTCACAAATCTCCGTTGCCGAATATAAAATTAGAGGCAAAGATCCCAGTGGATTTCTTCCTAACGGATCTCTGCATCTCGAAAGCTCAGACACTCAGTCCCCTGTGTGAGCTGAATCCCACCAATAGCTGCCGGGATAGTGCAATCCATCCCAAGCTTTTGTACGAGCTGGCTGAGCTGCTGTGTAAACCGATTATATGTCTCTTTGAGAAGTCTCTTCGTAACTGTTCCCCACCTGCCGACTGGACAGATGCTATCGTGTGCCCTGTTTCAATAGGGGTGGCAAGCGCCTACCTGAAAATTACAGACTGGTTAGCATAACAAGTGTACTAGTTAAAGTATTAGAGAAGCTAGTAAGAGATACTCCCGAAAAACACTTGACTAAGTTCAGATTTATCAACCCGTCTAAAATGGGTTCCCCAGAGGTCGCACTTCTTTGACTAACATGTTGGCAGCCCGAGAATATTGGTCTGAGGTTGGGCATTTAGAACAGGCGGTGGACGTTTTATCACTGACTTTCTAAAGCCTTTGACACCGTCGCGGTGTCATCGACTGTCTAAACTGAAATCCTACAGCGTTTCAGGTCAAGCATTGAAATGGGTTTCAGCTTTCCTGGAAGGTAGGCAGATGGGTCTTCGAGTGGGTTCCGGGCAGTCTTTCAGGAAAGCCGTCCTGAGTGTTCTTCAGGGGTCGGTTCTCGGACCTCTACTGTTTGCATTGTGTTAACGATCTACCTGAGAAGCTTAAGGTACTATCCCTTATGTTTGCGGATGACAAAATTTTGGAATACAGTGAGCGATTCTGAGGGTCTCTTGGTTATGCAGACTTCCACTGACAAGCTTTGGGAGTGGTCAGATTTGTGACAGCTGCCAATAAATATTGCCAAGTGTTCGGTATTGTACATAGAATCAAGCACTTCCACAACTGGTTACGTACTTAGCGAAAATGTAGTACTTCAAATGACTCAACAAATAGATTTGGGTATCTCGCTATCCAGTGACTTCAAATCCTGCCAGAACTGGATGACCGCTACTCGCCAGGGTTTCCGGATGCTATGGATGATCCAAAGGTTGTTCAGGATTATAACAAATGAAATGTTCGTTATATTGTCTACACCTTTTATCAGACCACACTTGGAGTACTGCATGTAGACCTGTCTCCACGTTTGATCTATGACAAGATGACAGTTGAACGAGTTCTGAAGTTAATACGAAAATGATGCAAGGATTGAGGCAACTCTGGTATCCTGAGAGGCTGTTCAAGTTGCAGATGCTCTCGCTGCACTATAGACGTCTTTGAGGCAACTTGGTCCTTACGTATCGTATATTGACGGGCAAAATTGGGCCTGATCTAACTTGGTTGTTCCATGTGGATCAGATGCCATCTCTTCGTGGTTATTCTCAGAAGCTGGATAAGCCCCGATCCGACCGCATTAGAGCCGATTTTCGTTTAACACGCAAGGTCATCGAGTCATAGAACGCACTATCCAGCGAAGTCGTACTAGCACCAGCGGTGAAGAAGTTTGAACATCGATTCGACGCCCATAGGTTGCAGTTTCAGAACTCTCCGTTTTGTTCTTAACTTCCCCTTCCAATTCCTTGACTTCTCACCTTTTATTACTATCCCTGCCTTAGGTACGCATTCCCACCTGTACTACAAGTATAAGTATTCTGTATTTGTTGTTTTCCTTCTCTTACGCTTCCTTATGCACGTGACCGGTACAGCGGGGACTGCTGGTGAAGGACGCGTGGGAATTGATTGGTTGACCGTGATGTGATTCAGACGTACTGATTTGGCTCTCCTCGGTGTTGAAATCGATCCCTCGAACTCTATCCTGGTTTAACGACCCATCGAAAAAGGAACACCCATGGGAATCTCCTACCGTTTTTGTCCAAATTGAACTTGAAGTGGAAATTAATGGCGCAAACCTACGTAGGTACGATCAACCTCCCAGTATCCCTAAGCCGCTCGAGAATGATGGTGATCGAATGGAGACAAAGCGTCGATAAGATGTACGGCATAATGCCGTACTGTGCAAATTATCTCAACTTTGGGTTTAGGATAGATACAATTAAGGGGTGCATGCCTGAATGCTGTGCAAAGAAAGTTCGGTGAATTGCATTACAGCAGTCGGAAATTTGACATATCTGCACCAACAACATCTGAGTCAATATATGATCGCACATCTCAAGTGAATACCTGAGTAGTTCCTTAAGTGAGAGCGCATACTACAATAAGACGTTCGCTTGACAGACCAGATAATAGGTTATATAGTCCTTGATTGCAGAGGCTATAACTTCTTGGATATTACTGGCCCCTCGCTAGCACTTGTTCCATGACAAGTGCAGCGGGGCTTTAAGCAAGTTTGTGTCGATGACTACAAGCTCGAGTACGGTTAGCGATAGTGGTTCAAGAACGTGCGTAAGCAGTAGACTGAAAGTGACAGACGTTTGGAGCACTTTATGCACTGCAAGACAGCTATGTTGAAGGGCATAATCGGCCAAAAATGCAGCAAGAAACAAAGCCGTGTGCACAACTGAAAGTAGCAACGGAAATCGATAGCACCACAAGCAAGAACGATGTAAGCAAATGCGCGGAAGAGGAACAATCGGGCGAAGCCCTTAAAAGATGGAAAAAGAACACTGGATGGACAACAAAAATATGTAACGAGTAAACGGATTCAGACTTGAGTGAAAAACAAGCCTGTGGTATAGCGATGCTGGACGGGGACCTGAATTCTTATGACGACGAATACTGCACTGTTTGATGTGTGGCTAGAGTATGGTTTACAGGGTCAGATACTAGATGACTTGTTGGTGATGGGGGGCAATTGGCGGTTGTCCCTGGTATCGCTGTGTTAGGCGGTTCTCCGGGAGCTGAGACTACCACAGATTTCTTCCGAACGGCTGGAACGCTATCGGGGGTGGCTATCGTATCGCCAGTTGACTCATGAAGAATGGCCTCCTCAGTCTGTGCAGGAAGTACATGCGGTTTTTGTTTCAGGATCTTAGCCTTCGCCATGTTATAGTCACCAGAATCGAAATACTTGTGCTGAAATTTGAGTAAATGGCAGAGGAAGTATAGAGTCGAAATGACCCTATAAAGCATCAGCAATTTCTCGAGGAAAGTATACATACATATATATGCAGATACATATAAGTATATAAAGATATGCAAGACATGTGCGTGAGGGATAATAATACAGCCGCGCAGCTGAAACTCACTCCACGATTAAGCCGTTTCTGCAACATAAGTGACCCCACACCTCGTTGGTCCAACCCAGGGTATTTAGATTTGAATTTATTTTCCTCTTCTTCCTCTACCGAAGGCATCGGTGTCTAAGTTTAATACTAAGAAATTGGAATATGATCCCACCGAGGAAGAGGAAATAGTCGAATTATCCATCATAAGAGTGCGGCAGAAATCGGAAACATGATCGTAAATAGGAGGATATTTTAGTATGCGTCAAGTTGAGGGTTTTGAGGGCTTCCGTATCCTGGGCGTATGTGGGTCGTAGTAGACCGAGGAGGCTGAAAGACACAAGAGATAGATCGTAGGCGGATGGACAATTACATCTCAACCGGTTAGTAAGAGTCGGAGCTGGATGGATTGTATGCCTGTGTTACACCTCATGGTGTGCTGAGCCTTATCACAACTGCTGATGGAGGACCGGGCGTGAGGTGAGTGGATGGATGGCGTGAAATAACGCATGAGAGATGGTTGTTTTGACGCTATTAAGGACGAAATGGTGAAGCAAAGAGGAAACGACAATCACAATCTAAACTACGCTCGACATCTTACTGGTCCGTCAAATACGCGAATATAAGTCCAAATACAAATTCAAGTTCAAGCGGGACTGGAGCGATAGGATTATTCCGTGAGTGTTCCTTCTTCAGTGGATCGTTGAATCAGGAGTTGGCATACTGTGAAATATAAATGGACCTAAAACAAATACCGCATCACACCCTGTCCAAACAATTAATGTCTACGTATCCTGCCCTAGCAGTCTCTGCTGGAAGAAGAGAAAGTGGAAAGGGCTAAGCAAGTAGAATACCAAGATATTTAAGTCAATAAAAAAGCTGAAAACCGAAGGCGCGTCAGTTAGGAAAATGGAAAGGTTTGGTGTTGCCACCCGAAAATATCGAGCTAGAGCGCAAAATCCGTAACCGTAGGCTTCATAACCACGTGATTTTGAAGCGAATTCCAGTGATCTATAACTCAGCTCGACAGACGTGTTTCCGTCCTAATCCTATCAGACCATGGTTTATGCAGTTTCAGTGGGTGACCGCGGAGATTAGGTAACGTAGCGGGACTAAATAGCCCTGACAAGCCCGGGCCGATCTTACCCGTCAAAATACGATAAGTGAGAATCAGATCCCCTCTTATCCTTCGGTAGTGCATGGAGTACATCCCCAAACTAAGCAAGTGTTCAGGATACGTCCGTCGCCGTAGACTCTGCACTAACCGAGTGCCCACTCGTAACACCCTCTCTAAGTCCTTTTTGTCTAGAATAAGACATGGTGGACAAGCCTGGATGCAATATTCCAGGTGGGGTCGGACGAATGCCGAGAAAAGCTTCACAAATAAATTGCTTCTTAGGATTCCGAAAGAGCGGCGGATAACCCCCATCGTACGGAACCCCAGACAAGCAGCCTTCTTCCAACTGTCGCCAGAATGAAATGGTGATGGGTGTACGACTCTTAAGTCAACCTGCTGAGTGACAACCGGGGTTTCACCACCGCTGACAACATGTCGGGTGGGAGGATTTGCAGCTCTGATTCGGAGTACAGAGCACTTGGCCCTATTTATGGGCATCAACCATAAGGTAGACCATTCCCAGAGCCTATCCAAGGCATCATGAATTACCTCAGGACCACCCGGGATATCCGCAACATTCCAGAGCTTGAGGTCGTCAGCAAACATTGTGATGATACTCCTAGCTCTCCCGGCAAATCATTTCCATAGATCGCGAACAACAATAGCCCCAATACAAAGTCGTGAGACGCCACTAAGGATAGCTTGCGTGAGCGAAAGGCTACACCACATCCGTATGCACTGTTCCCTCTCCACAAGGAAAGCAGACACCCATTGAAGGGCGCGACCAGATACACCGTAAGATCTCAACTTTAGTGAGAGTCGAAGATAAGGAACAGTGTCAGAAGGTTCCGAAAGGTTCACGAATATTTATATATATATATATATATATATAATGCACAATCAGTGGTACAGATATTGTGCCATCGGAATCATGGCTGAATAGGAAAATATGAATAATAAGAAAAGAGCAACAACAAACGCTTTGTTTGTCTATTTTACCACTCACAGTTTTTGAAATTTTTTAAAGTTTGTTCTTTTTTAGGGGGAGGAAGAAGGGACACCGCAACAAACCGATGCACACGTCCGCCAATGACATCGATCATGAGCCATAACTTCCAAGGTCTTCAACCAGCAAGTATCCTCATCTCTCGGACCCCAACCAGGTAGTCGACAACAACCGGCCGATGCCAACTGTTTCGTCAGTTTTTTCATGCGGCTTCTCCATGTTGTAGGCTGTCCACCAGACCGTCTCTTCCAGCCCTGTCCAGCAAGTGCAAACAACGCACGACGGGGGTAACGCTGGACAGGCATGCGCAATACGTGTCCCAACCACCGCAGTTGATGCAGTGAGAAAGTCCACGAATAGCACGTCTACAGTGTGGCCACTGTCTACCGCTTCGGCACAGCTTTCAGGAGCTACAAGCACAGTAGTCTCATACGAAAATCCCTTGCGGAATCTATGTTACGCAACACTTAGGTAAAATCTATTCAGGTGGTTCTCCACGGAATCCTTTAGCAGCTTTCCAAACATCTTGACTACTACGCTTGTCAAAACGACAGAGCGGTAGTTCGCGGGCAGAGCGCTGTCACCGCCCTTAAAAATCGGACAGGGGATTGCTTCCTTCCATCCCGAAGCTAGGAAGCAGCTGTCAATCGATATTGAAAGCACGCATGTGAGAGGATCACTTAGCTCAGTGGCCAATTCATGCAACAGTTTCGGATGAATTGAATCAGGACCGGGAGTTTTAGAAGGATTATTGCCGTTATGTTAAACTCAGCTAAGCAAGAATCCTCTGGAACTTGAAAACAATTCAACCTGTGGTAAAGAGATCTCCCGAACAAAGACCCCAGTATTCTGATCACTAAGTATGGTTGGCGACATCCGGTTTCGGATTTGCCTATGACTGTGGTCAGCCACAGGGCGCCTGCGCCTACAGAGGGACCATGGATGGCCTGCGATGCAACATACACAGCTCCAACCACACCCTATATCCAGTGCAAACCCGAAGGAATAAGACCGGGAGGCATGCGGATGGGAGCCAGGTTTCACCAACGGAGCCGGCCCACACTCCTTCACAGGCAAACACAAGCACGCTGTATTTGGGGAATCAAGTGCACACAAGGCGGTGGCTGGAGCGTAGTCCGCTCCACACTGACTGCATGGAACCACTCTTCGAGCCTAGCACGGCCACAAGGACCGTGCACCCGTCCCCTCCAGCAACGACCAGATGTCTCCTAGAGCCAGTATGGACGAGGTAGTGGGTAATAGGCAGGTACGCACCTTGTCAACATGCACATCAAGCGCAGCCATACCGGGGATATCAAACAACAGCCAATCACTTGAAACGACAAGATGAAATATAATAAATCGAATAATTCATACAGATACAGTGGCATAAATCTTCGCTAAATTACCATATGAAGTAAGTTGATTAGTAACAAATTCGCGATAAGTAAAAAGTCCACAAGTTACTTAAAAGTGCTACAAACGCAACAAAGTTACCGAAGATAAGCGCAATCAGCGTAAGCAACATGGCCAGTTTATAGATTATTCAGGTAGGCAGAACAAACCAAATAAAGCGGAATGAAATTTGTCCAGCTTGTTATAGTCAATCTGCGCACGGGTCCCGTCTACTCGCTGGTATAGACAGTTTTGCTCTGCTGCGTCTTATAACGTAAGCAAAAAACTTCTTGGTATTAGCTGCGGCGGAGTCGCTAAACCCTGCTCGTATTGGAGACGAATAGTTCTGAGAGATTGCTTACACTGATTTCTAATCTCTCGATAACTATCATAGGTACTGGCTGATGGAGCTGCTTGGTATGTTCGTCAGCATCTAGACTATTTCTTGATTAGATACTTGCCTGTAGTGTCTATCCATGGAGGTTGTGCCTGTTACCGTCTTTCCCTCGTGAGTGGAATATAGGGAGTGGAAATCTCCGAAAGGTATGCCTTTAAGTTAACCTAGGCTTACTGGACAGAGTCGGACATCGGCATCTCACAGTTAAGAACTGAGGCCTTAGCTCACATTGCACTAAAGTCAGCCCGCAAAATATTCGGAAATAATGCAACGGCGGTCTGTTGGTGCCTTGAAAGAGGACAGCGAAAGTATATGTATGCGTGATCGCTAGACTATATATATATATATATATATATATACAACAACAAAGGCAAAAAAAGGATGCTAAACGGTTAAAAGTGAAAACAAACGGAAAAATTACCAGTAAGCTGCAAAAACGCTTTGGCGGTAACAATTTAATCAAATTCAAGTTCAGTTGGGACCGGAACGATAGGATAATCGAGTGAATGTTCCTTCTTTTGCGTATCGCCGGATCGGGAGTTGATAGATCTGCATGAGATGTTGGAAAGTCTAAAACAAAGACCGCATCGCACCCTGTCCAACCAATTACTGCCCACATTTTCCTGCCCAGCAGTCCCTGTTTTATGTGAAGTAAAAGAGGGAAGGGTAAGCTAAGAAAACAAGAGGAGGAATGTAAGCTAAAGAATGATAATACCAAGGTGTGAAAAGAAATTTTAAAAAATACAAGGGGTAAGTTGAAGATACAAGTCGGTTAGGGAAAGGGGAAGGTTAGGTACTGCCATCCAAGAGCATCTGATTGACGCTCGAAATCCTTTACCGTAGACTCCCTACCGACGTGCTCCGGAAGCGAGTTCCAACGTTCCATAACTCGACGTGACAAAGGAATTTCCGTCCTTACCCGGTCAGAACGCAGTTTGTGAAGCTTCAACGGGTGACCTCGGAGATTAGGCAGCTTGGTGGGACTAAATAGTCAGGACAAGTCTGGACCGATCTTACCCGTTAAGATACGTTAAGTGAGGATCAACTCTCCTCTAGTTCTGCTGTAGTGCATTGTGTACACACCCAAGCTAAGCAAACGTTCGAGATACGTTTGCCCCCGTAATCCTTGCACTAACCTTGTACCCACTCGTAAAACCCTCTCCAGTTCCATTTTGTCCCTTACAAGACAAGGTGGACAAGTCTGTATATAGTACTCTAAGTGGGGTCGCACAAAAGCTAACAGCTTCGCAAAAATATTGGCCGTTAGGACACCAAGGGAGCGGCGAATAAACCACGTCGTACGGAACGCTCTACAAGCAGATTCCTCCAATTTTCCCCAGAGTGAAGCAATGAGGTATGAGTGATACCTAGATCAACCTGCTGAGTGACAACAGGGAGTTCACTTCCACCAACTACATAGCGCGTGGGAGGACTAGCACCTCCAATGCGGAGGACAGAACATTTCGCCTGATTTATAGGCATTAACCATAAGGTTGACCAATCCCAGAGCCTATCCAAGGCACTCTGAAGTGCCTCAGAGCCACCAGGGATATCCACAATATTCCAGAGCTTGAGGTCATAGCAAACAATAGCGACGGTAGTTCAAGCTCCTGGGATAGGTCAATGACATAAATTGCGAAAAGCAACGGCCATAGAACCGAGCCCTGCGGAACAGCTTATCTAAGCGAAAGGCTACGCCCCACGCATACACACTGTGCTCGCCCCTCTAGCAAATCAGAGACCCATATAAGGGCGGCTCCAGATTTCTCATACGATCTCAACTTCAATGAGAGTCGTTGATGTGGGACAGTATCAAAGGCTTTCGAGAAGTCAACGAAAAGCTCTTTGATAGTGTGACCGTTGTCTACTTTCCTCAGCCCAGCTTTCACGAGCTAAAAGTAAATTTGTCAGACATTAAAATCCCTTACGGAATCCGTGCTGGGCCGCACTGAGAAGGTTAAATTTAATCAGGTGATTCTCCATCGAATCCCTGACCAATTTTTCAAACAACTTAACTACTACGCTTGTTAAGCTGACAAGCCGGTAGTTCGCAGGCAGAGTTCTGTCACAGATGATTAACTTCTTCCATTCCGAAGGTAAGGCAAGCTGTCGAGTGATATTGCAAACATACATGCCAGAGGAACACTTAGCTCAGCGGCCAATTCATGCATCAGCTTCGGATGAATTAAATCAGGGCCAGAAGCTTTGGAAGGATTTAGCCCTTGCAATAGCCCGAAGACTCGTGTCTCCGTTATGCTGATTTTATTTAGGCAAGAATCCTTTGGAACTTTTGTGACCAGCTCAACCTGAGGTAGAGAGGCCACAAGAGAAAAGACACCAGTATACTGTACGCTAAGTATACAAGCACTAACAGTCGGTGTGCCCATGGGTCCCGTCCGCTCGTAGTAAAGCCGGTAAAGACGAGTTTGTACCGCTACGTCTCTTTAAGTAAGCAAATAATTTCTCTGGGTCTGTTACGGCTGCGTTAGCCAAATCATCCTCGTACTGAAGACGAAGAGTTCTAAGATGTTGCTTACATTTATTTCTAACTGCTCGATAGCTTTCGTAAGTGTTAGTTGATGAAGCCGCTTGGTAAGTTCGCCAGCATTTAGAGCGCTTCCTGAGCAGGTATTTACCTGTATGATCTATCCAAGGAGGCGGCGCCTTGTCACCTGTCTCTTAATGGGTGTGATGTGGGGAGCAGAGATCTCGGTGAGGTATACCTTAAATTTCTCCCAGGCTGTCATAACGGTGTCAGCCACGGTGATCGCGCAACGCAGAATTGAAGCCTTGTCACGCATTGCGTTAAAGTCTGCCCGCCAAATATTTGGACATGCCTCAGCGGTAGCTTGATGACATTTAGAGCACATCGAAAGGATATGCAGACATGGTCACTTGCTCTTAGAGGACAGCCGTAGGTAATATTACTTACGAAATCGTGTGACTTCGCAAAAATGAGATCCAAGGTAGACGAAATTTGGTTGCGCATATATCTAGTCGGGCGGTCCACGAACTGATGCAAAGGCAGTTGCAACGTTAGCTCGAGGAGATCCGAACCGAAAGTGCCCACCGCCGAACTGCAAGATAAATCAGCTTAGCAGACTTCAGGGAGGTTGAAGTCACCCAGTATTAGACACCTATTGGCAGCCTGAGTACGAATAAATTCAAGAACCTCCCTGGAAAGACTTCCAGGACTTCGATATGCCACAACTGCAAACTGAGCGGAGAAAGTGCACACAATAGTCGACAGGGCTTCAACAGTTTGATCCGGCGACTAGAACACACAGGTCCTCAACACATCAAATTAAAGTGTTGCCCGTGACGGATGCCTGGTACAGTCAGGGTAATCATGCGCATGTAGTACAAGTTCAAGTGGGACTGGAACGATAGGATGAATCCCATAAGTGTTCCTACTTGAGCAGGTCGTCGATCCAGGAGTTGATAGGGATGCTCCGACTTCTTGAAGGGTCTAAAAAGAAAACACCCTGGTCCACCAATTTAATGCCCACGTTCCTTACATTAGCTGTCTCAGCTATGTCAGTTACGTGAAGTAAGAGAGGAAGAAAAATCGAAGGTAAGAGAGTAAGGGAAATCAGTTAAATGAAGAGAATAATACCATTGGCGAGGAAAAATAAAGAAAATAGAATCGAAGTATGAAGATGGGAATTAGTCAGGAAAAAGGAACGGTTTCGTGTTGCCACCCAAAAACGTCTAGTTGACGCTCAAACCCATTAACCATAGCTTCCTTGACAACCTTTTCTGGAAGCAGGTTCCAGCGCTCGATGACTCGACGCGAGAACCGTGTCTCCGCTCTAATTCTATCGGTTCGCGGTTTGTCCAGCTTCATACAATGCCCGCGGAGACCAGACAATCTAGCAGGACTAAATAGCCAGGACAAATCAGGGCCAACCTTCTCAGTCAAAATACAATAGGTTATGATTAGGTCCCCTCTAATCCTTCGATAGTGCATTGACTGCCTCCCCAAACTGAGTAGGCGTTCGGGGTATGTTTGTCCTCGTAATCCCTTGACCAACCTAGTACCGACACGCAACACACTTTCTAGTGTTATTTTGTCCCGGAAAAGGCATGGTGGACAGGCCTGGACGCAATATTCTAGGTGGGGCCGCACAAACGCTGAGAAGAGCTTCACAAACACATCAGCGGTTAGGGTCCCGAAAGAACGATGGATAAACCACAACATCCAGAACCCCTTACTAGCCGCCTTCCAGTTGTCTCCAGAGTGTAGTGTGGAACAGTGTACGACACCTAGATCAACCTAATTAGTCACGTGAAGAAGTTCACTCCCATCGAGCACATAACTTGTGGAGGAAACAGAGCTCCAATTCGCAGTACTGAACACTTAGCTCGGTTTATGGGTAGCAACCACAAGACGGACCATTCCCAGAGTCTATCCAGAGCCCGTTGAAGAGCCACAGGACCTCCAGGGATATCAACAATATTCCAGAGTTTTAGGTCATCAGCAAATAAGAGCGAAGGCACCTCAATCTCCTCTGGCAAGTCATTTACGTAGACTGAGAGGAGCAGCGGACCTAGGACAAAGCCTTGCGGAACGCCGCCAAGTACAGTTTGTCGAAACGAAAGACTGCTTCCAACAAGAATACAATGTTCCCGTCTATCTAGAAAAGCTGACATCTGTTGTATCTACACTTACACTAGTCCCCTGCACGCAGGGTCTTGAACAAGCACGACCAAAGCCCCGAACGAGGAAGCAGAACTCTACTGGTACGCAACACAAACTTCTATTCACGCCAACGGTACATACACTCAGTACATTCAAAACAACCCTGGTATTGATCGCGAACGGACGGGCATCCAATCACAAGCTACGAAGTGCGGTCGTGGTAAGGCCCGCGCGTACGCGCTGCCACACTACTCCCCCCTCTTCAGCGGTTGGTTCACTGCGGTGGCCCTCGCTTCGGGACACTGCTTCGGTTGAAGTGCTGAATATAGCTGTCTGGCGTTGACTCGTCGGCCGTCTGCTAACTCATAAGTTCCTGGCCCTAGCGCACGAGTAATTCTGATGGGTCTCGTCAGTGCCGGTTCTCCTTTCCGTGTTTGCCTCTCCTTTATCCTGACCAACGTTCCAGGACGCAGCGATGTGGCCCGTTTTTTCGTAGGATGACTGATAACCCCGGCGACGTTCCAGTTCGTGGGGGTCGTTGTTTTCTGCAGCCGAAATAGCTGCGTTTAATTTCGTACGCAACTTCCTGCCAAACATCAGCTCACCTGGCGTGCGATCAGTCGCTCTGTGGTGCAATGTTCGGTGAGTAAACAGAGCCTCCAAAACGGCATCTTCCCACTGCCTGCCGGACAAACGTGCTGTCTGTATAGTTTCCTTTAGCGTGCGATTAGTGCGCTCAACCATGCCGTTGGCAGCTGGGTTGTACAGGACAGTATGTACGTGCTTCACATCACGAAGTTGTAAGAAACGTTTAAACTCATAGTTCGTGAATTGTGGTCCGTTGTCTGTCACAATTTCCTCAGGAAACCCAAATCTAGCAAACAGATGTTTCAGCCACCGTATAACGATTGAGGTGGTCACATCGCCACACAAATGGATTTCCGGCCACTTACTGTAATAGCACGTGGCAACTAAGCAGTTCCTCTGGTGCTGTGG